GACGGCCTCGGGCCCAGTCCAGCCTCGGGGCGGCTCTTAGGTCCTCGGTGGGGCTATTTTCCCATTTTTTTCCAGGTTAATGGAGCGCTTCCTCGTGGATGGGTTGTATCCTTTGACGGGCCGCAACTCACAGAAATTCCAGTCCGGGACAGGTGCATTTCCTGGGCTTTGGGGTCACTAAAAGCGGGCGGAGTGTTTGCAGGATCCAGAGCAACCGGGCATTCAGGAACCGCTGAGGCCTGAAGATTAGGACGGTGGGAGAGAGGAGACCCTGGAAATGGGCCGGGGAGTGTTCGTCCAGAGGGCGGCAGTTGCCAGAGGCCGGCCTTGCTCCCAGGGTGGGTGGGCCGCGCCGGGGCCTCTGCTGGCCTGGCAGGGGGCTGCCTCGGTGGGTTCTGCTCTGCTTAACCTCCCTCTGTCCGAAGGCCGCCGTTGTTCGCCGCCTCCTTTCCTTGACCCCGGCCCCCAGCAAGCCGCAGCAGCTCTCTACCTTTGCCCTGACCCTCTACAAGTACACGGCCACTGTGGACGGCAAGACGATCCTCGTGGGTAAGGGCTTGCCGGACGCAGCAGCACGGGCCACGGGGCTGCCTGTCTCCGTGCTGCAGAGTCCCGCCTCCCTTCCCATTGGGGGGCCCCATTCTGATAAGCGCAGTGTAAATCAGCAGCGGTCAGTGGCCTGAAGTGGTCCCTCGAGGGGCGGGCGTGGGAGGCGGGGCTGAGAAGGTCTTCCGGCCGTTGGGGCTCCGTGATCAGAGCGCATCTATCTTTCCGTGGCATCTGCGAGGGATCACGCTTCCAGAAGGCCCCGGGTTGGGGGAGGGTGGCCTGGGGGATCCTGTGGCCTAGATGGGGTCGGATATGGGGGTCCTTCCTTTGTGAGCTGTGGCATTCCTGCTTTCCAGACTTCTGGGACACAGCTGGGCAGGAGCGTTTCCAGAGCATGCACGCGTCCTACTATCACAAGGCCCACGCTTGCATCATGGTAAGGAACTGGTGCGTGGGGGTTGGGGTGGGACTGTCGGGCACGGAGGCTGGATGGGGACAGGTGGGTTTCTTAGCCGGCGAGGGATCCCTTCAGGGTGACCGAGAGCCTTCTTCCGCCTGTCCTCGCAGCTCCCTGATCCTGTGGGACAAAGTCTTCCATATTTTTCTCGGCTGTCCACGCTGGAGATGCCTCAAGGCAATGCGTAGCTTTGTCTGTTAAAAGAATCACGACCCTGATTTTCAAACCCAAAGCGGCTACATAACCCGCCCGACACGGATCTCTTACTTCCAGCTCCTTTAGGACTTCATCCATAAAATCCTCCGAATTCTGCTTGTAGGCCACGGCCAGCTTGACGCAGAGGGGAGCACGTTCACAGGGCCCCGGAGCCCGTATTTGTGAGCAGAAGAGCATCCTTCTCCTGCTTCAGCCCATGCCATAATTCACAATCCCTCTTCCCACCAGCTCCACTGCCACGGAGCCACCACAGTCCTGATCGACGAGGGTGGGAAGATTGCTCTGCTGCACGGACCACAAACTCTGAGCAGGCGTGCCAACGTCCTAGAAGACGCTTCTTCCTGGGGATCTTTGCACCCTGCAGCTTTCTCCCGCTGGGATCTGAGACGCCGGTTCTGGTCTCTGCTCACCAAGCTCCAGCCAGTCATGCTGGTTAACGCGGGATAAGCCATACTCTTCCTCTCTCCCCTTCCAGGTCTTTGACGTCCAGAGGAAGGTCACCTACAAGAACCTGAGCAACTGGTATAAGGAGCTGCGTGAGTTCCGGCCCCAAATACCCTGCATCGTGGTGGCCAACAAAATTGATGGTAGGCCTCCTCTTTTTCTTTTTCTTTTTTTTGCCTCCAGGACAGCGTTTCTCAACCTCGGCCAGTTTATGATGCGTGGACTAGCTCCCAGAATTCTGGGAGTTGATGTCCACACATCATAAAATGGCCGAGGTTGAGAAACGCTGCTCTAGGAAGTCCATCGGGGTTCAGATGGAGGGGATCTGATTCACCCTCTTCTTTGGCAAGGGGGAACGTTCTGGCATTCAGTTTTTAACTCCTGGGGCTCCTCCACACACCCCGTCCTTGCCCCGAGGCTGAGATGGGCTGCTTAACCGTTTGTGGAGGACCTCACAACTTAAGAGCTTCCTCTTAAAGCTGCCTGAAGCGGCCTGGAAGGAAAAATGGCGGTTTCCATTGGAAAATGCAGTGAAATCTGCGATGCCTCCGAGGAGGAGCTTAAGGGGAGGTGGCCTCCTGCAGGGTTGCCCAGCTGCGAGAAAGCCCCTCAGACCCGGCCGCTGGGCTCTGTCCCCCCATGGCCGTTTCCAGCCAGCTCTGTATGCCTGTATTGAGACTCTAGGCCTGGGAGAGAACGGTGAGCTCACCCAACCCCAGTGGGAAAGACCCCGAGCCTGCGTTTGGGTAGTATGCAACGTTTGCTTCGCTTTAATCATGGTTATTTTCTTGGGGTGTAGCGTGATGTATGAACCTGCCACGTTTGGCCAGTTAGTTGTTCGGTGCTTTGTGCAAACTCAGCAATGGGGCGATTTCAGTAACCAAGCTAAGTCCGTCGTTCCTCCGCTGCGCTTGGCTCCAGCAGCTGCTGGCCCTTCTGTGTCAAAGCACCTGACCCCAGGAGCTCTCCTGGAGAGGCTCTGGGGTCACCTGCTTCGCTTTTGTTTTTCTAGCCGATGTGAAGGCAACTCAGAAAAGCTTCAACTTCCCGCGGAAGCTCAACCTGCCTCTCTACTTTGTGTCTGCGGCAGATGGCACCAACGTTGTGAAGGTGGGAGAGGAAGGCTTGGACTCCTGGCAGAGAGTTGCCCCGTGGTGCCACTGGCTGGGGCGGGAAGGGGTAGGAAGAGCCCAGCGTTGGCCTGGCGGTCTCCCTGACTGGCTTGCTCCCTCTGCCGCAGCTCTTCAGTGACGCGATCAAGCTGGCCGTGGCCTACAAGCGGAATTCGGAGGATTTTATGGATGAAGTCCTAAAGGAGCTGGAAGTAAGAGATCTGCGCTGGGCGTGTTACGTAGCCGCTTTGGGTTAGGTGCACAAATGTGCCATTGGGGATTTGCTCCATCCGCTCGCTTTGGCAGGATGCGAAGGGGGTCTTCGGTGAGCGCACATGGTATAACCTCCAGTTTTAATCACGATAACAGATAACTCCAGTTACACCCCCTTCATTTGTGGGCCTGGCAGCCATGAGGCTTATTCTCCCTGACTCAGCTTTTTCAGG